TTGAGGTAGAGACCATCTATTCCAATTTTTTGTAGGGTTTTTATCATAAAGGTATGTTGGATTTTGTCAAATGCTTTTTCTGCATCTATTAAGATAATCATATGGTTTTTGTCCCTGGCTCTATTGATATAGTGTATTACATTTATTGATTTGTGTATGTTGAACCATCCCTGCATCCCTGGGATGAATCCCACTTGATCAGGGTGTATGATCTTAATGATCTTCTGCATTCTATTTGCCAGTATCTTATTAAGGATTTTTGCATCTATGTTCATTAGGGAGATTGGCCTATAGTTCTCTTTTTTGGTTGGGTCTTTCTCTCCTTTGGGGATCAAGACATTTCTACAAGACATTTAGAGAGGAACTACTGCCACTATGTTTAAACTCTTCAATGAAATTGAAAGGGAAGCAATACTCCCAAATTCATTCCTGGAAGCAAGCATCACCTTGATCCCCACTGCCATTAATTTTGATGCTGACATTGTTTCTGGCTTGGCCAGTGGGAGCCCCTTCAGGCTGACTTCTGCATCATTTTGACAGGGCCCCACCATTCTCTGAAGACTCTGTGACACCACAAAGTGTTTCAGGTTCCTCTTGCACTTTCCCACCCATGCCCTGGGGTTGGCTGTGTCTCTACAGAACCTGGAATCCTTTTAGTGGATGATGGTAGTTAGAAGCCAAGATCTGAGTGATGCATATGGGAATTGCTGTTGGGCATCGTGGCTCCCAGGCCTCTCAGTGAGCAGTTAAGGAATGAATCCGGCACATGAGCACACACATGTGTGTACACACACAACTAACTACAGATAGGAATTTATACAGATAATGTCCAGGTCCCATCCAGCACCAGAGCTCTCTAATATTCTCCCTTTTCCTATTCATAACGCTCTTCTCCAGTTGTGAGAAACCTGGCTTCCATTGCCTCCCTCTGTCCACTCATCTCACTAATCCCCATGTGAAGCCCATCTCTAGTCCACGCCCTCCCTCAACCCGCTGCCAGGCTGTCCCCACATCTGCACAGCTGCCCTCAACCCCACTCCAGCCCTCTGACCCCTACTGTGGTCACGTAATGGCTGCAGGCTTTGAATGAAGGAGAAGGGACAGGAGGAAAAGGGC